CAAAATTGAAATTTGTGAGTCTCCACCATCAGCACTGTAAACTGAAAATAAGCTATTTCCCTCAGGGTGCCAAGCTATATCTTCTGGCCATCTCCTCTGCTTTGAGGATGCACAGTTAGTTGAACTAAGCAAAGAGGCTCCTGAACTACAGTTAACGATGGAGACAAAGAAAACATAAGAAAATAACATGAGTGAGAGATAATTGATATGTTTTGAAGTTCAAAATTATAAATTTCTTTTACCAAAAAACAATTAAAATACATTGAAGGAAAATATGTGGATGGGAGACTGCAAAATCATATAGCCAGATTTACAGTTTAAGATGGAGAGAAAGAAATATGCAAGATAAACAAATCGTTGGGAGTTTGAGAAATATTTCAAAGTGCTAAAATTTTTTATGCTTCAAAGCTTCATATACAATGAGGGTAAGACAGTTACTGATGTAAAGGAGCCGTGCAGGCTTAGGCTTGAGTGAAACACAGTGATAAGATTGAGGAAACCCCACTTTCCCAAAATTATTAGTGGTCAAATATGTTTAAAACAATCATTGTGACAATAGACAAGAATAAAACTCCCGAAGAGCCTCAAGAAAGAATACATAGGTGGAAAGCTATTAACGACCACAAAAAAGAGGATTAAATAAACCCATGACATATCAAGGAACAAAATCAAATATGCGTAATAGGCATCTTCAAGCACTATCCAAAAATACAAGTGAATTCTTAGGACGTGATCAATTTGCTTAAATAAGAAATATAAAGGAAAGTCATCGAGGCCTAAGTAGTCAAATCACATGTTTATACTGCCAAAGTACAAAATCCCCAGATATTTCTCATTTGAAATCTATTCAGGCAACCACCAAGCGGATCACACCAAATCAGCCACCCAGCATAAACCAAAAAGAAGTTATCAAGGATTTACTCCAGAAAGTATTTGTCCAGAATATCAAAGAAACTTAATTGCTTGATGGATGACAAAAACTTATATTGGTCATGATCATATATGATATATAATAGAAAACAAAAATAATTGCCTACAATACATTAGACTCAATGCAACTAAACAAGCAAGATGCTCAAAGACCAGTAAGTTGCAGATTCCCTAATCAGTTTCTTATTTTTGGCCCAGTTGAACATCCCGTTACCATCAGTCACCAACAAGTAGGGTATGCAAAAAAGGATTAATTAAAAAAATCAAGGCATACCCCCTTGCTTGAACTTGCCACAAGTTGACCACTCCATCCAAGGAACTGCAAGAATTACAAAAAAGGAGCAAATCAGAACCAGAAGAACAAATTTATCATACATAAGAGAGTGGGGAGAAACAGCAGGCGCCCTGGGGGGTGTTTGATGCCACAAGTTTAAAAACCACAAATATAAGTTTAAAGATCACAAGGCACGAAACGATAAACTGAGTTTACAGATGAACTTCAAAACTATCCATCCTTTTGACCTACACTTCAATCTAGGCAAAATCAAAGTTTAAGTTGACCTACACTAACTAGCAAGCAATCTTTCAGCTTGGAATGTTTTTGTTAACTTGTAGTTTTCTTTAGAAAAGGGGGAAGTACAAGTTAATACTAGGGAAAAAAAACAGAAACTAAAATAATCGATGTCCTTGAAAAAAACTACTGAAACATATTTTCTTAGAAATACCTAGTCACGAAAAGCTGATCATTCACTGGACACAAAGCAAGACTCCGCAATTTCCTCTTGTGTTGACTTGAGATATGGGTGCTTGTTTGACAGTGTATTAAACATGGTGAAGAATTAGTACGGATTGAAGGAATCAACTCCTTGTGTTCTTTCTGTTCTGCAAAAAAAAATGCGATTCTGATGAAACTTTATGACAACAACAAATAATTTTGGAATAAAAAATATGAAAAACTGGGCAACAACAACCATTAAATTCAGATACAAGTATATGACCTCAAATATATGCTAACAATAAATATACAAAGTATTAATGCAGGTTACACTAGTGATCAAGGTCTTACCAAACTTCCTTTTTGTCCCTTTTTCCTTGATCTTAATATCTTCCTGTTTAGTATAAAGTCGTTGAGACTCGTTAGTTTTTACTCTGGAGCCACTTGCTGAATGAGTAATGACTGGTGGACTGGCTTGAGAATTGGAACTTATTGAGGCTTTTGCAGAAGACCCTGGCAACAATTTAGGCTGTGAAATTTTTGGAGGAACAGCAGGAACAAGAAGCTCTGGTTTAGACTGATGTGGGCTTTTGGATGAACCTTCATTTCTATGAATGGGACTGTTTGACCTGCGCTCCATCTTCACAGATTTAGTTCCTTCATCCAAGGAACTTTTTCCTGATACCACATTAGGTTGGCCTCGAAGGCGAGCCAATTTGGATTCAGAATCTTTCAACCTCTTCTCTGCTTCCTCAAGCTGCGCATCTTTCCCAAACATGAAATCAGCTAATTTTTCGTGTTGTGAAGATGTAAAAAGGATTGTAAAAGTTGGTATGACATGACAAAACAATTAAAATCACAGCATATATCAATTTCAGAGAAAATCCTGTATTACTACTCACTGAAGCACCCACAAAAATTATAAGCAAATCCTGTGAGGAAATTTATTAAGTTTTGAATAATAGGTCCTACCATAGACCACAATTTGAAAGCCATCTAATTACAGTCTTCAACGATTGATGGAAAAAATGCGACGCTCAGACGTTGAGCACTAAAAACATATATTGCCATGAATGAAGGCAGTGCGCGTCAGGATTTTAAGTGTGAAAATAAATTGATACTTAATGCCAAAGAAAAATTTAACAAGAAGTCATCAGAATATCACAATTACAACGACCCAACTTGACAACGCCAGAGGCAATCACGGAGTTAAATGACCTGCATTGAAGGTGGGAACTTAAAAGCTTCAGGAAGAGAGACCTAAATCTTCAAGTTCTAGAGGCATTTGAGTTTGGATAACTGTAAAGAATCGAAACTGACCACAACATCGTCATTTCAGACACCTCAGTGGCAGCATATGAACGGACAATAAGACTAATATTAATCAAAATATGCCTTTTTTACGTCCATAAAGATTAGACGGTTAGAGAAAGAGATGAAGAAAAGGATGAACCAGCAACCTGAGATGTGTAATAGGCGATGCGTTGACGGAGATTTTTAACTTCACGGGTACGATGCTCAATCAAAGCAACCAAAGCCTCCTCCTGTTCTTCCCTGCTATTGCTGCCGCCATTGGCGTCGTGCGCACCGTTTTGTTCCATTTGTTCTCGATGCCTGCTACTGATACTGCTTAATCATCAACTCCTACTAATCGGAGGATCCTCGCTTATATGGAATTCAAGAACTTGAGAAATTTGCTCCCGTTCTCTGAGACAAGCTGATGGAATCGAAGGCTTCCCTTGGCTCTATACGCTGCACCGAACAAGGAACGAAGACTCTTACGATAAAAATTATCCCAGCACGAAGTTCTAATCCAGACAGGTGTGTTCTTAATTAAAAAAAATAAATTCTAGATGATATTTTCTTTTGCCAACTAGAATTCTAGATGATGTTAAAGTATGATTTAAATCAATCAATCAAATTCCTTACCAAAAAAAAAAATCAATCAATCAAATTATAATAATAAATCATTCATAAATAAATTCAACTCATGTTTTATTTAATAAAAATGTTGTAACTCCAAAATAAAAATATTAAAGAATTTGTAGCGTTGTGCATAATAAATTTGCGCGGGGTAAAAGAAATGTCAATTAAAAAAAAGATAAAATAGCAAAGTGTTTATTATTTTATTCTTTCTCCAAGAGATTATCTAGCATTTAAACATTATGAATGCGTTACCAAATCACGCTTCAAGAAAGATGTATCTACGCATCTTAATATCTCTATTAAAAAAGAAAGTATTTATGCAAAATCAAAAGCATTGTTTAAAAATTGGTGGGATTGAAGTCCGTCCACGTGGAGAGTAGTATTTTACAATAAATTATGCAATAAATATGAGATAGAAATAATAAAAAATAATAAAATGAAAATCTTCTTTTTTGCCAGAAGAAAAAAATGAAATTCAATGTATATACATTCATACAGATATATGTACACCGTGGAATCTTAAAACTTGTGGGTACCGCATGGAAACTGTCTCTTTTCATAGTACTTTGTGCCCTTTTAATTCTGGGTGCTTTCTGGTACTACCTTAAAATTTACGACAAAAGAGCTTGCAATCGAATAATCATTGTGTTTAGAAGTTAGAACTCCCCCCCCCCCCCATAGCAGAACTTTTTTTTAATAACAGAACTATTTTTTTTTTTTTGCCACTTCAGAAGTTAGAATTACCTAAAGATCCAAGGTGATAATACTTTTTGGATAAGCAGTCTCAAAGGCGATATAGAAAAAGCGATGGCCGTACAAATTAACGAGGGAAAGATTGAGCATAACAAAGAAAATAAAACATATACTCCTTAAAATCACCGTTCTATTTTTCGTAAAGTGATACAGTTTCATTGCATTACGAATTCCTATTTTACTTGACAAGTTACCTGCTTAATTACCATTACATGCTTATTTGACTCGTATATTTTATATATCGATAAGCAATACCTTTGTGCCAATTGATGCAATCCTAGTTTTAGCCTCATAAGATTCCAAGCAAGTAGTGTACCAGAAGCCGGTAAATGTCACATTTTTCTTTTCATTCTGGGCTTTTGGCCACGTCTGTGACTGTATTACGTTAAAACTTACAATTGGCTTCCTCGTAATATGTGACTTTCGGCTCAAGAGTAAACGTTAATGCTACATCAACTATCAAAAGTCAACGTTTTTTTTCCTTTGACCAAGCTGTATCAACATAGAATCGCACTCTTCATTTTTAATGTTTAAGCCGTCTTAACGCTTCCAGAACATCCACGAAATGCTTTGCTCGAGACATCCATGAAGATTTTATAAACGAACATTTCTGAATGGGATTGTCCATAATTCCACTGGCTTTTAGCATCAACAGAGTTGATAATGCAAGATGATATAGACATAGACAATCAAGGAGATTTTTAAGAGAAATAACTATATGAGAAAAAGTATATAGCACCATCGAATTAAATATAGCAATTTAAACCTCCCTCAGGAATCGTCCCATAGACCAATGCCTGAGGGTATAACAACAAATTTACATGAGAACAGAGAGACAAAATAACCAAAACAAAATCAGCAAAGTCCCCTTGAAACCCTATGGCGACTATGGTATCAAAAGAACTACTGCGAATTGTGACAGTGTCCCTTCACAGCTAGCCAAAATTTTGAGCTTCAATTAAGCCATTCATTCTCTAAACCCCATAAGATGGATGCAGAATTCCATGCAAAACTTCAAGAAAAAGAAAAAGTACTACGATCAGTCACTTCATTCTGGATATGTACCTCAGCCTCTGAAAACTTGTGCAAGGCTTCTTCTCTATAGGCAAAATTTGTGAGCCCCCCTTTACTTCCTGGTCTAACTCTCCCTCCAACAAAAAGAAAAAGGCAATATACAGATTCAAGCTGAATTTCATGGCGCAAGATTGAATGCCTAGTGCCTGAGGCAAAGTCAGTCAGAATTCTTTGAAGAGCTCAATGAAGAATCTATTCCATTAGTAGTAGGTCCCTCTCCACCTGCCAAAGTTGAAGGACTCCCCTGGCTGCGATTCTCCTCATTATTGCTACTGCCGCGAGATTTTCCGGGCCTCATTCTAATACTAGTACCCATGGGGAAGGGTTCCTGCAGAGACAAAATAAAGTCAAATTTGTCCCAGCGCAAAATATTTAAGAAACCAGATATTAGATGCGTTTAGTTAGCAGAAATTTAAATTTAAGATCTTTATGTTATGACAAAATTCATTCCTCAGAACCAACTGACATTGGGATTTGGGAAGCCTCCACATTGAAAACTCGATCTATTAAATGCACACTACTAGTTCAAGAAGCACCACATCGCCATCAAAAGTCAAAACCAGCTCGAGCCAGATCCATTATGACTAAAATAAGTTGTTAGCAGCATATAAAGAGTATCCCTACAGAAAACTGCTTCTAGCTGCTATGATCACCATTAAACTGTGGGATTAGTATAAGCACCAATCAATTGCATATAATGTGTCCCCTAACGTTACTACTGCCTCAGATTAGCATCTAAGATCTTAACCTTATATTTCAGCTAATTTCTAAGACCAAAAGACGATGGAATTGAATGAGGAACTTAAGAGATATGAACTACATATCACTACTAACAGCATAAGCATGTCATTAAATGATTAACCATGTCTGAGAAGTAGAGAATCAGTAGGAAGCTTTTAGTTAATCTAGTTTATTCTTAAAAATGGGAAACAATAACTAAACAACAAACTGATCTTATGCCATACCGGATCACCAGCATTTGGGCCATCCGTGTGGAACAGAATAGGACGGCAACGCTTGTCTTCATTCATCAGGCTTGAATTCTGGAAGTGAGCAATAAGTGCAGCTTTGCCCTGAATTCGGGCATATGCAAGTGAGGCTACCTTTTCACTATTAAATTTCTCCCATTTTTTCCCATTAAATGCCTGCATATGATGGTTCTCTTATATTAGCTTCATCAACTCAGAATTCACCCAGCACCATTAAATAACTCAAATTAATGTTAGCTAAGATTTACCTGGTGGAATGGAATAATCTGAGCAGGATCAATCATATTAATAAATGCGTAGCCAACATTACATTTGTTCTGCAATTATTTGTACGATCGAATAAGAAATATGTCAAGGATGTCTCAAGAGGAAAGAAGCAACAGACCACAAATAAATGCTTGCCTTAAAGTCAATTGGCAAATATAGAAAATCATAAGTTCCCCGACATTGCTCATCTATAGCAGCTAGAAGCATCTTTGAAGTATACCTGTCAAACAAACAAAAAATAGAGGAAGAAAAGAAATCACCAAGTTAGCGTCAAATGTTTCAATGCTTCACTAGTCAGCCAATGCAAACAGTATATGCTGTGCGCATGTGATTGTTGGGCAAAAATTTTGTAGCTTTAAGCCTGAAGCACCATGCTATGCTGTGATTTGAAGAAGAAAAGATAGCATTGCAAGCAGCAATAAAAAGAAGTCAGGAAGACAAATGACATACTTGTTGGGAATATTTTTATCATGAGAGTTGTTCGACTGTCTTCCCCACGCATTATGCAGCCTAGGTCAAGTTCATATTGCTTTTTATCAGCATTATTAGCGTTAGCTTCACTTTTCCGGAGGGGATACAGACTCCTCATTCGTTCACTGGAATCAAGTTTGGACATAGAATTCATGGGATGTCTCCCAGGGAAAAGATGTGACAACTGATTAGGAGAGTTTTGCCCAGCAGTTGGCGTCAATTCTGCACCATTCCCACCAATATGAGGGAACATGTTGTGAGAAGAAAAATCTGGGGGATGCAATTGCCAGCTACCAGGTACACCAGCACTTCCTAGAGAACCCATACGAAAACCAGAAGTTTCAGGAGACACTCCCAAATAAGAGTGCTGCCTGTCCCAGGGTGAGGCATTAACAGGAGCTGACCCAACATGATGGTCCATATGTGATGCTCTCAGCATGTGAGGCTGTGTTCTCGGAAAGCCAGGCATTTGTGGAAGGCCAGAAGCACAAGCACCATTAACAAATGATGGTGTTTTCTGCCAAAGCATGGGATTTGGTGAAGGTTCCTGATGCAAATTGGAGTTGTTCCACACATGATAAAGTCCATGACGTTGATGGTTCCCATTTCCTGTAGATCCAAAACAGAAGAAAGATTTCAAACCGAGATTTAAATGCAAATCTATACCCACACCCACAGCCAATATTTTTGTATCTCGATAACCATTCAAAACTTGATAGAAATGTTAATTTGGAGGGCCATATTTACTTCATCATCCGCAATCATAGACAAACAGACAGAAGTGTTTCTGAGCATTAAAAAGTCATTTAATTTCTGATATTAGTAGAGTTATTTCTGTTTTTTAATAAAAAAACATAAATTAAGAAGAAGAACATGAGCACTCAAAGCATCATCCATAGTCAAGATTCAAGTCCATCATTATTGTAAGTGGCCAGAATGTCATCTTAAGAAAGTAAATCAACCCTTGTGATATTTTCAAACCCGTTGTCACTATTTTCAATAGATAGGAAACCAATTTAAAACTGGTGCAACAACAAACAGTTGCGCATGAAGCTGCTCGTGCATACACAAAACAACTGCACATTTCCAAGTACCTGCTCCAGTAAATTCCATCAGATTCCCAGGTGAACCTATTCCCTTATTGTGCCTGCTATCTGAGTTGTCTGTCACTGCAGTCCCGATATTGCCAGCCACATTGCCAACAATGCTTGAAAAATTGTAAGCACTACCATTAGCAAAACTTTCATGATAATCAGGGAGGGAATGAGGGTGGAATCTTGGAAGAGAGGCAAATTTCATTGCATCAAGGAAGTTACTGGACTCGCAAACACTGGGCACTTTTCCAGAAGTTGGCCCTCTCACTGATTTGTGGATGCTAGAATTCACAGGAGAGAAAGCATTATCAATTAACGGAGTGATAGGTTGCTGCATTGCAGGGCGAAATCCTGGATTAGATCCATTGTCTAAGCAGCCAGATGCAATTACTCCAGAAGACATTGTTGCTGTAAATGATGTCTAGTGAGACCAGGAAAACAGTGGCTTCCTAAGGAAAAATATTGATAACAGCTTCAAACAGAGACAAGACAAGCATACCTCTCTGTCTTAGTGACAAGTTGTCACAAAGACTTTGACCAAAATCAGGTTCATCTTGGCCATTGTGAGACTCCTGCGTCAGACTACAAAAGCATAGCTTCCACGATTATTTACAAACAAAAAGAATTACTAGAATAAAGGGTAAGTGTTTATTTCCATTTAAAAACAGAAATCAAGGTGATTCATCACAATTCTGCACTTCATAAACTGCTTAGAAGACAGAAGTCTGCTAACAGTTAGAAGCAGCGTATTGAAAAGCAGAAAATAGAGTTAAAGCTACTAAGGAAACAAAAGAAAAGGGAGAAGTCACCATGTTGTTCCCCGAGGATGGCCAGGTTCAAGCTTGATCTGCTTACCAGCAATGTCACTTCTGTTTAATGCACGGAGAGCGGCTTCTGCAGCTCGCACATCATAAAATTCAATAATTTTTCTATAATTTACTTCTGGAGATTCATAGATCTGCAAGCAAAAACAAATGCTTCCAGCTGCTTAGACTGTGTTCATAATAAACAAAGCAATAAAAAAATGGCTGAAAATCTGATTATGAATATCTTACTTCTTTTATTTCTCCATAAAATCCAAAAATATGTTGAAGCTCGTCATTTGAAACAGAAGAATCAAGACCAGATAGCACTAGCGTGCCATGGCTTATATCCTTCTCAGGAGCATTGCCCTAATGTGTCAGCAAGTTAAGATGCTTTTATGAGAAAAGCATGAAACATAGAAGACAGAAACAACTGAACAACCAAAGCACAAATAATCAATACGATTATACTAAATGCAATTACTGATACGACCTCCTATATTTATCCAAATGATTATAAAGGAAGAGGAATCATGCACGCTGCACACTGGCAAAGAATTATACCTTTGGAATTGAATAATGAATGTCAAGTTTCCTAGATCTCAACGACCTATTCTGGAGTGCTTGCATTGCATTTTGTGCTGCCCTAGGTCATAGTAAGAAATCATCACAAAGCCACGATGTTTGCAGGACGTATAAATGGTGCGGATGTCTCCATATTGCTGCCAGAACAAAACATAATAGAACATTTACTTAAAATAAGTGGTATGAAATGCTTCCTGAGATTACATCTAGTAATATGAAAGAACAAAGACGCACCTCAAAAAGAGCCTTTAGCTCAGAATCTTCAACATTGCTATTGATGTTTCTAACAAAAAGTGTTCTAGAAGGTTGTTCACCAAAAGGAAGCTTGCCTTTAAAACCTCCAAAATAACTAGAATCTACATCCAGACTACCAATTTTCTTTCCAAAACTGAGAGGTTCATCTCCTTCAAGCTCCATGCCTCCGCCGCTACTAAACAAATCAAACTCCTCAAAGTCATCATTTGTTCTGGCATTGGCAGTGTATCCTAACTCATTAGTAACACAGAAA